GTAGCAAACGCATTTTTCTTTTTCATCTATCAATTTAGTCCTTCATTTTATCAAAATGCCTCATTTGTATTAAATTTATATTCTCCTATTTTATATATCTTATATATATATATATATATATATATATATATATAATATGTTGTAAGCATGAACAGACACCTAATATTATTAATATATGTAATATAATCTTAAATAATTAAAGTAAATAAAATAATTACAATAAGAAATTATAAAATTACTAAGAGAAATTGGATACTTATTTTAAAAATAATATAAATTGAAATTATATTTTTACATAAGAGAAGAAAGGAAAAGTTGTATAACATGTACAAATGTAAAAAAGTTAAAATTAAAATAAAATATCATAAAAAATAAAGAAAAAATTTAATAATTACAAACATATCCAATTTTTTTAATAATATGAAAAAAAATGAGAAACATTATTAGTCTTAATTAATAAAATAAATTTTCTCTAGTTTGAAATTTTGAAAATATTAAATATTTAAAAAAAAAATAAGTATCGAGTGAATCAATAACAGTTTTTAAAATGTGAATATATGCGCTAGACCATATATGGTCTAGAGTGTAAATTTGCACTAAATCATATATTTTCAAAAGTAACAGTTTTGTTTCAATCGGTACATAGATGTATATGTATCTTCTTGTGTGTTGTAATATTTAAATTTTCATTTTGTGTGTTGTAATTTCTAATTTTCATGTGTGTTATAATTTTTAATTTTTCATCTTGTATGTTGTAATTTTTAATTTTTCATCTTGTGAATTGTAATTTTTAATTTTATTTGTGTGGTGAAATTTTAGTTTTTAATGAATATTTATTTTTCCGATTTTATTATATATAATTAATTTTAATTACATAAAGTCTAAATTGAATTTAAAATAATAGTGTGGTTTAATTTGTAAAGTTGTAAAATATGTGGATAGTATTGAAAAGTTATAAAAGTTGGTGTAAAAGAGAATATTCTGGGAATATTCTTTTGGGTTTGAGAATAAGTTTTTTCGGTTGGAGATGCATTACTGCAAGATGTGATAGTTAGTGCAAAATGGGTTTGCGTGGAG